TTAGACGCGTCACTTAGTGTATGCGAATCGACTAGCACAATATCACCTACTTCGAACGAAACAGAGCGGCGGTGGCAGTCTTTATACTTCTTACGTCTATCTTGAGATTGTTCATGTGTCTCGCGGGCTTCACTAAGAGCTTTACTCAAAGTTAGTAGATAGGGCGTGATTTGTGGCACGAAGTTGTCCTTGGCTATGATGCTTCGAAAATCACGATTTGCATCATCAGGAGTTCGTAACTCGCGACCGAACGTGAGGTACGCAGGAGTAAAACCGGTTGAGTCGCACTTCACAGTGTTCATCGCGAACCGTATAGCGGGTAACTTTTCAGACCAAGACGAATGGTCATTATTTGTTAGAATAGCTAACTGAGTTTTAATGTCTCTATTCTTTCGTTCGACGGGGTTAGCTTCCGGGTGGTATACAGGTATAAGGTTCTGTTGGTACCCGAAACAATGCGCCACTTGCTGCATTACCGCACTCACGAACTGAGTACCGTTGTCACTGATGACTCGACGAGGGATTCCGTATCGTAAGATTATGTTGTCTATGAAACACTTGGCGCAGGCAGCGGCAGTAGCAGATTCTAGCGGGAATAATTCTACCCAACGACTAGCAGTGTCTTCCACTACCAGAATCCATGTATAACCTTGAGGAGAGAGGGGCAAAGGCCCAAATAAATCAATAGATAGCACTTCAAACCTCTGGGACTGAACAGGGGTTTGTAGGAGACCAGCGGGTTTGAGGTTAGAGACTTTATAGCGTTGGCACTCAAGACATTTACTTACATGGTCAGAGATAATTTTCTTCATTCCAGGCCAATAGTAGCGTTTTATTATTCTTTGATATGTCTTCTCCACTCCATAATGACCAGCAGTAGCGGAATCATGGTACTCATGCAGTATGTGAGGAATACGTGTACTAGCCACTACCAATTGGGGCTCTTCTTCATCTACTTCAGGAGTATAACGGTATAATATCCCATTGTTCATGATATATCCTCTTTCTGCCCACCTCTTGAAATCTACGCTTGTGTCAGAAGAGGGATCTTCTAAACATCTAATAATCTTGGCAACATCTGGATCATTAAGCTGCTCTTCTCGAACATCAGCAACACTAAGAGTTGGAAAATCTACTCTTACTAGATGAACTTCAGCTATGATGGGAACTTCTGTCATGGGAGGCCTTGATAGAGTATCTGCGATTACATTTTTTCTTCCTGTGATATATTCTATTTTTAGGTCATATGGCATGAGCTCTAAAGCCCATCGAGCTAACCGTCCAGTAGGGGACTTTAAGGTCATTAACCATTTTAAGGCCTGGTGATCACTTTGCACTATTGTAGTAGCGCCTTCTAAATATCCTCGAAATTTCTTCACTGCCCAGACCACAGCAAGAGCTTCTCGTTCTGTAGTGCTATAGTTTTGTTCAGCAGGAGTCAGGAGTCTCGAAGCATACTCTATAGGTCGTTCGTTCTCTTTCTCCCCCTGCAGAAGACATGCCCCCAAAGCATAATTGCTAGCATCTGTACGAAGGATATAAGGTAAATTGCAGTCAGCTTGTCGTAGGATTGGGGCGGAACACAATAATTGTTTCAGACATTCGAAGGCCTCTTGTTGTTCTGCTCCCCAGGTCCATTTCACATTTTTCTTGGTTAAATTCGACAAAGGTTTAGCAACATGGGAGAAATTTTCGATGAATCTACGGAACCATGAGCATGTTTGCAGGAATTTTAGCAGTTGAGTAACATTTAGGGGTGGTGTCATGTTTAGTATGGCAGATACTTTATTTTCACTTGGTCGGATACCCAAAGGTGAAAGGATGTGTCCGAGATATTGGACTTCTTCACAGGCGAATGAACATTTTGCTCTATTTAGACATAATTTAAATAGGCGCATCCGGTTGAATACTTGTTTCAAATCGTCTATGTGATCAGAGAAGGATGGAGATAATATTATCAGATCATCTAAATAAGCTAGGATATTCAGATTTTGAAGACCAGCACGAAATTTATCAATCATCCTTTGGAAACTAGCAGGACTGTTACACATACCAAAGGGCATGCGTGTGTAACGAAAGGTGCCAAATGGACACACGAAGGCTGTTTTGTCACGATCAGCGGTTCGTACAGAGATTTGATGATAACCATATTTTAAGTCGAGGGTAGTCATAAATCGGGTTTCCTTTGCTGAATGCAAAATATCTTCAATACGTGGCAGAGGGTACTTATCTGCACGTGTTATTGCGTTTAAGCGTCGATAGTCTACTGTTAATCTGATACCTCCATCTTTCTTAGGCACAAGTACCACGGGTGAAGCATATGGGGACTCACACTCTTCGATTATGCCTTGAGCCAAAAGTTTATCTAATTCCTGACGCAGTAATTGCCTTTTGGGCTCTGACATACGGTAAGGTGGAACAGATATTGGTACATCATCAACCAATACAATGGAGTGTTCAGCATATGGAGTAGGGTCTCTATTATATACGAATAAATCAGAATTTTCCTTAACAATGTTGTTAAGATTGGATCTTTCTTCTATGGATAGAGAAATTCCTTCATCTGCTCGTAGTTCTAAATGAGCAAGAGTAACGCTATTGACCTGGCAAGGAGAGCTGACCTGAGCCGGATCTGGAGCAAATGAGTAGGGGATATTAGGGACATCACCATAAAACCATGAGTCATTAGGAATGTCTAGAATGATGTTAGCTTTTCTTAAGAAGTCTGCCCCCAGTAAGGTACGACTATTTGTGTGTGTGGGCACAGAAATTAAGGAAATGCTATGAGAGCGGTTTTGTAAGATAACAACTAAATCAAATACCAAAACAGTGGTAGAAGTAGTCCTACCATCCGCTAGGGTCATGTCTACACTTTTTGTGGAAAAGGGTACCTCATCCTTCAAGAGGATATCTCTTAGCTGAGAGCCAGCAATGCTGCACTGTGCTCCCGAATCAAGATAACAATGACCTACATGACCTTCAATAGTGACCTGAACAATGGGTTTAGTTGATAGGTTTGTGGCAAGCTGTTGGTCGAAATTAACTGTTTCAGCAAGCATAAATTCAGATACTGCTGAGGATTTACTGGATGATTTGCATTTTGGACAATTACTCTTAATGAATCCAGGAGTCTTACATCCATAACACGAAATCTGATTCGAAGTAGAAAAGGTTGGTTTGGGGCTAGTACGAGAAGTTACTAGAGAAGGATTAGGTTTGGGCTCAACCGAAGGTTTTCGAGAATCTGCTTCCCTGGTTCTGGCTGCGGCCAATTTTCGACATTCATCCTTCACGTGACCTGGATTTTTGCAAAAGCTACACCGTACCCGTTTTGATTCGTTTTCGTTTTTAATGTTTATTTCCGGATTTTCATACGATTCTTCAGTTTGCCTCGCTTCTTTTAAGAGTTCGCTAAATGTATTGATCTTATCGCGTGCGACTTTTTCACGTATTCTCCTATGCAACAAACCGTATACCATATCTAATTGAGTAGCTTCGGTTAATGTATCTGCCGGTAACTGAGCTATTATCGCGCGCGCTTTGCATACAAAAATGTCACACGGTGTTTTAGCATCTTGTTCCGTCGAAAACAGTTCCCGATACACTCTGTAGGCTGGTTTTTGAGGTCCAAAAGTCGATCGTAATAAATTAATGGCGCTGGCCCACGTGTTTACCGTATTTTTAACACCTTGAAACCACGTGGCGGCAAAACCGTCTAGCAGCATGGGTATACCCTTTAATGCGTTCGCGTCAGACACGTGGCTGCACTCTTTATAGATCTCGACCGCATCTATAAAAGCTTTTACATCAGCCCCCTTTGATCCATCGAAGCGAGAAGCGCATTTTGCTAAACTACCCGAGTCCGAAATAGGCCTTGCTATTGTATTTAATAAGGCTTGAAACTGTTCGCTTGTTAAATTTACTGACGACATTTCTGCTGATGTTGATTCGCTTGAACTAAAAACCGTCGCCGACCTAAGCGAATAACTGTGTTTATCGTTTGTTGCCGTGATTGCAAATTTAACACAAAAATAGTAATAAAAATTAAAGGCTTACAGTTTCTGTTGCTTATTTCTTGTAAATACCCTTGAATGGAAGCTTGATATTCCCACAGGATATTTCTGAATGGTCTGTAGTGGAAGATTGATATTCCCACAGGATGTTTTGAACGATCTGTAGTGGAAGATTGATATTCCCACAGGATGTTTTTGGATGGTCTGTGCGGAGTTTCCACAGCAGTCACATACACAGTAGATTTATTGTTGTGAAGCACTAAACTAAGTGAAAATGTCCACTAATCACCTTACAATGGCGGGAGCAAAAACACTTTTTACTGTTCACAATGAAACTTTACGATTTTCACAGTACGAACTACACTTTAAACTATTTTGCCCAAGTTGGGTGCCAGTTGTGATGTGGGTATTAGTAAAAATAGTTAGGTAATGACTGTGAATATTGATTTATAGGATTTTATTAAAAAAAAGAAAACCATGTGTTATAATTTTAACCTACATCTTACAACAAAACATATCTATCTGTCTCTTGTCACCGTTCACTCTCGGTGGACACTGTCATGGTTACTTGGTGGTATTCAGCCACGGAGCGGTGTGGCTGTTACAATCTATTTTTTGAACCTTACTGCTCGAGATTGAATGTGTAAGTGTTGAATATTAAGTTGTGGATATAAAACATATATGAAAAATATGTATATGAAACATACTATTTTACAAACCGGTCTGTTTTGTGTTGGACTGGACTGGAATGGGCCAACGGCAACAGTATTATTATCGGTAATGGTCAGATGATTCTTGACGGGTCAGGCATATTAGTTTTATCATCTGTTATGAGAATACAATTTGATTAAAACAAATAATAAAAACATTTATTATTTAAATTATGTGTTCTCTTCCATATATAACATCATATTGCAAATAAAAATCCATTTTTTTAGTCATTACCATTTCTTACACTATTATTTTATTATTTTGTTTATTTTACAGTCAGATAGATCTCCAGATGAAGGTAATAATGTGCCTCTCACAGACAGTTCCCTTATTGTGGATATTTCTGATGCGCTCAGCGAAAAAGACAAAGTTAAATTCACTGTCCACACTCGCACTTCAATGAAGAATTTCCAGAAACAAGAATTTTTAGTAGTCAGACAACATGAAGAGTTCATATGGCTTCACGATCGTTATGAAGAAGAGCCTAAATATGCGGGATATATTGTAAGTTTTTTTTTTATTTATATTCATTTATTTGTCATTATCATCATATATTATCATCATCTTATTACAGCCCTAAAATTGAGGATCCTATATCCTTACATCCAAGTTTTGGCCTACAAGAACTTACCCTATAGTGACTTTTTTCCAAGTTAAATCTAACATTTGCTCTACTTTTAACACTAACACTACACTAAACTAACTTAAATGGCTTTGTCTTTGTTCTGGAATCTCCAGATGATTTGAATATTACTTGGTTTGATACAGCTCAAGAGTTGGCACTCCTTAGTCCATACTGATATTTGTTTGTATAGCTATAATTTATTATATATGGATAATGCTGCGTTTCTCCATATCAGTCAAAACATTTCCTTTTGACAAATACCTAATCCATAACGAACTTTCCAGCAAAGTCGAGCATATGATGATGCCCAAGTATTTTGCAGTAGATGCATGTCACTTTGACATCATTTATTCTAACCAGAATGTTTTGAATTCTCTTATTCGTAAAATTGACATGTGTCTATGTCCAATTGTAGATTATGTTAATTGATAACGGTAATTTTTCTGTTGCTTGATGTATGGTATTTCCTACTATAATAGCAGTATGATCTGCGAAGTAGCTATCGTCTTGTTTTCTAGCGCAGGTATGTTACTAGACTAGTAACTAAGTGTATAATAAGTAGAGGACCTTTCAATACACTTCCCTCGATACTCAATACTGTTTATTCATGTTAAAAATATAAAATCTAAAATCTTACACATGCCCAATATTTACAAAATCTTAATTAAAATTAAAATTATGTTGTAAGTATTCCTGAATTGAATAAAAGTAATTTTGTATCAATATTTTTTAAATTTTATATTCAAATTCCTTTTCAGGCAAGTTTCGTATATTTTCAGGCAGAACATTAAAACATTTTATTGCCCAATACCCTGGTCCATTTTGACACCTTTTTCAAACGCCAATATGCTGGTATCTTACTCTGTTTGTGTCTAGTATCATAATTATGCTGATCTTCATGACTTCTATAAAGATTGGTATTCCTCTTCACGAATCAAAGGTTTTCTAGAATGCTGGTACAGTAAGAATTCCAAATCTTTCATAAGCCTGACGGCAGTCATCCCTAAATCTCAAACCAGCAAGGACCCTCACTGCTTTTCTCTGCAGACCAAATACTCTGTGAGTGTCAGCTGCATGACCCCAGACAAGGATAGGGTATGAACGCATACCCTATATGATCCAGTGAGACGCATTTTGAAAGATTTCTCAAAATAAAGACACTTTTATTTAGTTTTTGGCATAGGTTATTAATATGTAGGCCCCATTGTATTTTTGTTTCTAAAAATTCAATCTCGCCAACTCCAGCATTCACGTCACCCACATCTCTCATTGTGAAAATTAATTATTTAGTTTTATTGTTGTTCAGAACCAAATAGCACATCTTCAATATTATCAGCTGCAAAGGCCACCATAGTGTCATCTGCAAAGAGTGTATATTTATCCTTATGTTCCATGTTTGGAAGATCGTTTATATAAATCAAAAATAAAATAGGGCTCAGTATTGAACCCTGGGGTACTCCAATATTTAACACACTCTCTGGCGACAACATCCCACCAAACCTCACAATGACCTGTACCCTATCTTTAAGATATGATTCTATGAGCTCAATACCCTCGGAACAAAAGTTATATTTTTCTAATTTCTGTAAGAGGATTTCATGGTTGAAGTCTTGCTCAGCTCACACAAAAGGATTAAGTTAAATTGAAGCTTATGAAATGACTCTGTAATATACAATATAAGGTTTAAAATACCTAAGCCTGTATTTTTCATTTTGCGAAAACCAAATTGACATTCAGAAAACATATATCATTGACCTCAAAGAAATCTACTATTTGTATTGCCATGCACATTTCTACAATTTTCGGAATAGTTAGCAGTAATGAGACTGGCCGATAATTTTCTGTCAGGTTTGAGTCCCCTTTTCTGAATATTGGACAAATTATTGCTTTTTTGAGGACAAATTATGGAAAAACATGTTCTTTGATGCAGATATTAATTATCTTAGTACTTAATTGGAATTATTATTTTTTTTTATTGTTTTGATCAACTTTAAATTCAGTCGAAGATTGTCATGGCTGTTTTTATTTTTTAAATTATTGATAATATCCTATCACCGTACTCTATTGACAGTGACTTCTGGGAAAGAAAATTGATTTAATATACTGAATGCTATCTGTGAAAAGTACTCCTTAATGATATTTGGACTGATATTAGAGGGTTGTCTAGTATTTTTCTCAACACCATGATGTTCATTTATGATTTTCCACATAGACCTTATTGGATTATTGGAATTGCTTATTTGGATGCTTATTTGGAATTGCTTATATATGGAATATTTATATATATCTGAAGCGCTCCCACTTAATTTCTTTTATATCCATATATGCATGCTCTCCTTTAACCCTAAAATATCTATCAGATATGTATATTGGTAAAATTTCTGAGTATTGTTTAGGCATACATTTTTTAAGTTGATGCATTAAACCGTCATACTAAACTTTAAGTGCTGAGCCACATTTATTGATCAGATTGTAGAACATACTGTCTTTTCTGTGTACTTAATGGAATGTTAAATGTTTATTTTTGAAGCCAAACTGGTGATTTGGTATTAGTTTCTTTTCTTAAATTATTCATTATAACCATTTTAATAGTAGTTTTTCAAAAAGCATCAATATCACTGGTGACAGTGACAAAGGCCTATATAATGTTACTTCGGTTGGTAATTTATTTGGTTTTGATATCATTATTACTTCAGCAATCTTCCATAAATGTGGCATATATCTTAATTCAAAAGCAGCTTTAACTAGATTTGTCATTTTGACTAGGTATTTCCGAGATAATGTTTTTAATAATTCACCAGTGATTAGGTTATACTCTGACGCTTTTTTTGTATTTGTTTTTTCTTATTTTATCAGTTACTTCTATTGTGACACTTGGTCTGATTATTTCCTCTGTCTGGGCTGGTTCTCCCCATTTTCTGGGCATTCCCATGCTGACTTTTGTATGTTTCCACTCTTTTTTATTGAGCATGCTACTTACAGTAAGTAATATTGGCGAATGTTTTGAATAATGAGGGCGATATGAATGTCATATCCCCCTCATTATTAATATCCAGATATTTACTGAGATATTTTTAATTAAGAAGAAATCAATTAAATCTATAATTATATTTGTGTCTGTTGGTCAATAAGTTGGTCTGCTAGTTGATATTGGTTCACATTTCTGTTCTTTTACTTTGGTTATCATTCAATTTTATTCCCATTGAGAAGAATGTTTTTCATTAAAAGTTGGATTGTTGGATATATAATGTGATACACCTTGTAACTTCTAAACTTTATATAATATTGTTTAGTGAAGTGGCTTTCAGAAACGAGACACAGATCCACTTCTTCATTATCTAGGACAGCTTGCAATTCGTTTTGATGTAGCAATCCATGATAAAATTAGATGTCATTTATTTTCTCATCGATTTTGATGTCTTTCCAAAATTATTCTTAGTGTATATTTTTTCTTCTTCTTTTCTCTGTGTTGAATGTACAGTCTGTGTTATTCCCTGATGAAGTTTTGCTGCATTATCTTTATTTTTGTTTGATTTCGCCGCTTTTGTACTTTTTTAGCAATGTAGCATACACGATTTGCGAACATGTTGACTCCTCTTTTGCGGGTTTTATATATTCTTTTGGATGGTGCTTATCGATGCATTTCACACAACATAACGCCTTAGCATAATATAGTTGGGAATGTCCATAGGCTTGACAATTTTTATGCTATGAGACCAATCTTGAACTCTGTAATGGTTAGATCTCAACGACTATCGTTTATGTCAAACATTTTATTTATGTCTTCATCTTCTCTATCGTGTAATCTCCTTTTTGAAGATCTTGTTCAATATCTTGTGTTGGGAAAGAATAATGCAATTTATTTACTACTATTCGCATTGGACTCTCTCCTTTAATGATCGCATGATGATCGCTATTGGGTAAGTTACTGAGACTGGCAGCATCTTTGAAGCCTAGAGCTACTATTAATGTTTTTTTAATTTTCTTTTAATTGTTGTCCTTTATGGGGCGGAGGGGATAATGTATTTTTGTTCTCTTCTTATCCACTAAGTTTCATTATCCAACTTGGTCTGTCCATTATTTGCTCCTGTCTGATTGTTCGTTCCTCTGAATTATATTAGCACTATTTGCTAACCCTCTATTTTGTGGGATTTTTTCGAGCTGTGCTAATCTATTTTCCATCTCAGGTAATATTGTAGTTAATCATTGTTAATCCATTTCTGACTTGCACCACACGTTATACATTACTTGTTTATTTTGTTACATTTGTTACAATACATTTTCTGCAAATAATTCTTGATTTTATTGTACTAATAACGCTTCAGTATGCATGTGGTTAAAAACATTCGTGATTGGACTGAGATATCAAATTCAGGACAATTATTGCATGTGACAGAAGATCGAGAAACCTTCGGAATGGTGATTGCCAACATCGGTTAACTCTGATATTTCACATGAAGAAGAAGATGCATCTAAGGCATCATTATAAATAAAAGAAGAGTGCCTGTTCAATTTACTAACTTACTAAGTAATCATGTTGAAATAGAAAACTACAAAAATTATACTGAAAAGTGCAGACAAATAAAAAAAAAGTGTGAAGGATAGGAGCAGGTTTACTTAAACCTAGAAACGTAACTAGGAGAAACAAGAACTTTGAATCTTGCAAAATATTGGGATGATACATATCTCCTGTACTATTTAATAAATCGTCGACTTACTGCCAAAACAAACTGACTCCACTCTTTGTCGATTCTGGGTTAAGTACTCGTTTGTATTTGAAAATTCTCAAATAATGTACTGACAAAACCGGAGAAGTCTAAACAGATTTTAAATGTGGGAAACAGGGGCTCAAAAAAACTAAATCCACTGATAACACTTT